GAGGAAGAGGAGCAGAAGGATAAAGAGAAGGAGGAGGAGGAGGTGACGGGGCAATGTGAACGTCTGATATGGACAAATTAAGTTAGGAATGAAAGATAGAGGAAGAATACAGGGGCAAGATTAACGTGGTTAAAAGACGTCAAATTAAAAACGGGAGAGACAGGCAGACCAATTAGCAATGAATTTCACATTATCATGATTATTGGTTCATCGAAGTATGATGGGAGTAAGTGGTTAAATTAGACGAAAACTAAAAAATCAAAAGAATAATTGACACAAATTAGAAGATGGTGAAGAAAGGATGGCTAAATATTAAATCCTTTAAAGGAAAGAGTTAAATGAGGCAGAAGTATTTAATACGTCTTTCTTCAAAACAACAATAATGTTGCCGTTTTAGGCGCTGAGATACAAACCAACAATCTAATGTGAATAGTCGATCTCGCCCCTATCTGTACCTCCTCCAAGCCCCAAATAAATGCCTTATTCCCAATTTGAAAGGAAGCCAATGCTTTCTGCTCTGTTAGGTTAATTCCTCCATCTAAAGAACGAAGAGAGCGTCTTTATTTCATCTTGAGTTCGACCGTAAAACACGAATTGATCCTGTCTTGTGTGTTTATTGAACGACCCAAGTTCAAGGTCGACTCGAGACCTGGATTTCCTCGTATTTCTTTCTATCATTTTCTGATGAAGCAAGAACACGAATCATGGATCGTCGACGATCTAACGATAAACATTTAGTACATATAAATATTTCTAAAGGAAAAGTTCTTACAATCACGGGCACATATTAACTTGTTCATTGATTTAGGGTATATTATTGTGATACATCGCCTGACAGTAAATAGTAGGTAGTCTTGTTAAAACATTACAAAATTGTGACATATCTTTAAAGAATAAAACCTCTTTGATAAACCTTGCAAATCTGATCAATAATGATGAGGGTGATTCATTATCTAGCTATATTATCTTCGATTTGTTTGGAAACATTGCCCCAAGACTCATGACAAATGTCAATAGGGACTTTTATATTCACACGAAGACAATGGGGATTGCTACGATCGACGTCCTTTTAATGCACTGCCTTGAATGGAAGTCACACGTATCAGTCCACGCAAATCTAAAAGTCCTTATTGACAATGATAGAGCACCACTTTTGATAAAGAGTGTAATTACGTAATCTCAATGAAGAATGAAGATGACTATTCAGAGAATTTGTTCATTCAATAATTGTTGGAAATTATCTGATATAAAGTCCGTGACTTATTTCTTAGCGCAAACATCCCGAATGACACAATGTAGAAAGACTTTCTCGTCACTTACACTTATGTTTTAAGACACAAAATGAGAGACAGAGCATGGAGTGCGCAAGTGCATATGACGTCATGTTTACTTCCGGGAGATAAATAAGATGTTTTACACACTTTACTCCCTTAACAAATAATAACGAAGAGAAGTCATTCACAAAAGGGATTTGTAACTGGCTAGTCATCTAGTTTTTCAATTAATTCCCATTTCAACACGGCTTCTTTTGCTTTAAACTGGTCTTAATTGTTTCTCACATTACCTTTTCCCTTCTTCGTTCTCTGTTGGTAAACCTAGCGTATAATATTATTGTATAGATAATTGTAGGCCTATTTATATTGCTGCAGTTTGCATTGGGGAGGAGATTCAAAGGAGATGAGTTCACTACACAAGTCAAGAAATTTACCCCAACGAAACACAATCATAAAACGTGAAAGAGAAAAACCAAAAACATGTGAGGGTATTCTATATATGAACACAACCATTAAAACAGAACACGCGTCTTACAAAAACTACACGTGAAAAAATACGTGTCACATCATTAGTATAACTAGTAAGAAATAATGTACGAAGCCGAATAATCTGATGCACATAAAGTTAGAATAATTATTCTTAACCGTTTTTTTTAATTTGAAATATTGTGACACTACTTAATTATTAATAGATAAAACTGATATCTTCTCATAACTTTAATGATCAATCTCTATGACCCTTCAGATTGATCAATACAATTCTGAGAAAATCAAAACTAAATCTATCAAGAATATATCATATTGTCACAATCATTTAATGCTAACAGGTAAGAAACGATTTCTACTTACGCAAAAAGTTATCTATTTGGAACAATCATAATCAGATAATCACTTGACTACATCCATAGTTTACATGGTATAATAATTATGGTAAAAAAAAGAATGTGAGCCTTGCAAAGACAATTGATATGGACGCGAGACTGCATCGCCGTTGTGACATAACTATGTTCAAATTCCAAACATTTCATTATTAATGTAGGGATACTTAATGGAAATCGAACATGGAGTACAAGAGAAGCAAAATAAAAAATGTGAACAAATAATGATGAACATTTAAACATTTACAGTTCAACTACTTTCACGACCAGCATGATGCAAAAATACTTAATACTAATAAAGTTATTTTTAGTTTCCTTTCAAAGATCTACTTCGTGGTTTCAAAAGAGCATCCAATTTGAATTGTATATAATATATTTAAACGCTTGTTAATATTGTACTTGGCAATTAAACGACTCATTATTATAGTATTCAGAACTCGTGTAGTTTTCTTATGATATGCAATGCCAAATGATTGCTATTTCCAATAGTACCCTCACATGTTAACCATGCGGTTGGTCTCGATCACGTTTTTATAACCGTGGTTCAAAATAAATGAGGGCGTTGATCATCATCGGTTGCACTTTTGTTGTGATACTTTGTATCTGTGTCATATCTTGGCCCAGCCATTATTAATGGGGTAGTACTGGTGTATACATGGGGTGCCTCCAGTTTTACCAGGTGAATGACATGAATTAGAATAAGGTCATCAAATGAAGAAAGGGTGTTGTAGATGGTCATAACATCTCCTTTTCACGTTCCATTCCCCTCTCCCCGTTCGTCTTCCTTTAGTTCTTACACACTTCTGCCATTCATTTTTGTTGTTGGGGGGGGGGGGGGCTCAACTAACATTGCCCCCCCCCCAATACCTGCACTTCTTCTTCATATAATTTCGAAAAATGTGCATTTATACTTCAATTTTCATTCCAGCTTCGACTTTACATGAATACTCCTCAAATAAACAATTCATTTTAATTACGGAACTCTAATTATTCAACCAGCCTCATTCATGTCAATAACATATCAGGGCCATTATCATGAGTTTTGTAAGAGCAAAATAATAGAGACTTGATTATAGGATTAATCACTGTTTGAGTATTGTGTAGGCCTAATAGCATTTTATGTCAGCAATTCAAATGTCAGATGACATGAAAATTACAAGAAACCACCTCACTGATCACATCATTATGAGGAGACGGTTACTCAAACAATGGTATTTTAACATTTTCGGGGGAGGGGTTGCAGCCCTTGTATGCACCCTTAGCCCTCCGCCTCATACGCATACTGTATATGTTAAGGATTTTTGGAAATATATTTTTAATATTTTACCCGATATCGCAAACAGGGAATATAATCTGGTCTTTAAAATAAACATTTCGAAGAACATAAACCAGACAATTATTGAATAGATTTATCACCAAACTATATCACCAAAAAAACTAAACTTAGGTTATTAATTTTCTTGATTTCATGTAAATTATATATATAAAAATTGCGGCCAAACCAGTTACAAACTATATGATAGAAATGTTAGAGGAATGCATAATATTGGTAATGTATTTCAGGCAAACGATTATTATTTTTTATTGATCATGAATGATGAGTATTAATAGTTGTTTTTTCACAGAATGCCCTCACGTGTTTCTAATGTGTTTTTTCTTCTCTGTCACGTTTTATGTATGTGCTTAGGCCCATCGTCCTAATGGAGTTTTTTATGACCCTGGCTCTATTCCAAAAGCTGGTAAAATTATATTCAATATCTTGAAATTGTATTCATTATCTTTATTGAGAGTCATACTGATTGATATACTTGATGATGCTAGAAATGTAATATTCATTCGGTTGCTTCTTTCTGATAAAATATATAGATTACACGGTCGCAAAGGCGTTCTAGTAATTAACTCATTATGGGAAGTTTCGAAACTGTATGTTATTGCCTACATATAATCATGCTCGTATAATATAACATATCATTGTTATGTTCACACGTCTTAAACGGCGAAGGACTGGGTATTATTGCTTAAAGCTCATTTCCCAAAAGTCTTTGTAATCGTAGTAAATTATCCTCCTAATAAGTTCTTAAGATGACCTGAAGCTGTCACATTTATCATAATCTATATGCATAATCTATGTTGATAGATGTACATTAAATGACCTCTGTCTTCGTTTTCGTTTCACATTCAATTTCACTTAAAAGCAATTATATTTTATTGTGAATATTGAGGAAATGTATTTGTAAAAGTGTTGGCAGTGTTGAATAATCACTATTCATAATATATTCGAATGGCCTGATACCTTAGACATAATTATAGAAAGATCTTTCCTTATATACTCGTAAACTTGTTTAGTTGACCTCTTATCTGTTATTCCTGAGAACTACCATTAAATTATCTTGTCTCATTCGCTGCTGATCATAAATAATTCTTCTCCTATTAAACCTAACCATCGCCACATATTTCATATAATGCATGATAAAACATTCGATTACCACGAGATAGAAAAAAAGCGAGGAACCCCCATCATAAACATGACAGTTGCCAGAATACAACACAATCTACTTCCAAATAATTATAATCATCACTATTGTATGACAGAAAGACCGTCAGTACATTCCCTTCGATAAAACACATCATCCTTTATGACTTTATTTCCATGCATTTTTACTCTTTACTAACTTTAAAATGACGTCATGCGAATACCGACCAATCACCGACGCATTCCCCAACTCCGATCCTAAGTGAAAGTTGTATGCGTAGCAATAGCATATTTCGACATTACTGAATTCACTTTCACCAACTTTTTTTTCATCATCAACCGCGCTGTCGGATAGATCGTACACACACACACACACGGAGATTGTATACACTCGAAGGAGCCATTCTGTCATTCGTCATAATATTTCGCACCCGAACATCATAATTTGACGTTTCGCTCTGTAGAAACGGTCGCACGTGTGAGGTGGAAGTCAAGTTCATTATCAAAGCACGAATAACTCATTCTCTCCTTCATTTACTCAAAATTCGCATTCGCAGAGGATTCAACCATTACACTGAAAAACTTACAAGGATTGATACTTTCTTAACTTCGCAATAAATGTACTTTGAAGCTGAAATCTATTTGTGTACATGTAGTTGATCTGTCGCCTTTTTATCATTACTTTTCGCTCCCGTGTGCATCTCGTGTGATCACCATTCGGAAGACCTAATATTTTGACATTATTTCATGATAAAGAATTATGCTATGTTATGTTATCTACTCTGCATATAAGGGTCGTGAGTTTAGATTATCAGCTATACCCATGGATATATGAACGCGATTGACTTTTTCTCAAATTTGTTTTCAGTGGAGCGGCAGGAAAGGAAAGTTCTTAAAATTTGTTAACTTGTTTGTAACTCGTATCGGCTATTGTTTCGTCTGCGTGTACGGTCGCACTTCTTAAGGTGAGCAGGTAGTACCTGCTATCATCTTCATTCAAGAGACAAACTTTCCCAGGGTCAAAAGCAAGCTACTTCATCCGATCAATTGAATTCTGGAGTTGGGACAGTTGACTGGTTTTGCCTTTTCTCTCTTCCACCTAGCTCTTCCATCCCGCTTCAATCCGTCGCTCTCAATCGCACCGAAGGATAAAAAGCCGTGCGTGCAAAGCGTAGTGAGGCATATCAGTACGGGACGCCGCAGGGAGCAGAAGCTTCAAATATTTCGCTCCTCTCTCTCTCTCTCTCACTAAATACCCATGTCTTACACATCTTACTCGCTACTTTCTTTGAACAGACTTCAGTGACATGTATACGTGTTTAACTGCTTCAAGTGTTTGTTAGATTGCTTATCCGCAGGATTGGACAGACCATCAAGGCATTTCACTTGTAATTTGTGTGTTTGTCTACTTGGAAATTCTTTTCTGAAGGACCATGTACCGTGCCGTAATTTACACCATCTTCGTGGGCCTGGTGTGCCTGGACAGCCTGGTTGAGTACGGAGTCGAAGCTCGCAGGAATGGAAGAAAGAGGAACAGGAATCCTGGAGCAGGGGATGTTTTATCTGCATCCGGTGGTGATGTTGTCAAGGTGAGACCGACACCAAGAAGGCCTCAGATTCCACTCAAAGCCGAGGTACAGCCCCCACATTCAAGAGGTGTTCCAGGTAAGTCCCACAGTCTAGTATCCTAAACCTAACCCTAAGCCTGTCTACCTTCTTACAACATAGTGGGCCTAACAAGTTGCCAACCCAGCACTGTTGTGTTTTATTGCACCTTTGGCATAGTTATAGTCAGTTATAGCCCTCTACCATTAACTTACTTAAAGAAACACCATCAGTCTTAATCGTTCCACATCCTGAAATATGTCTTTCCACCTATTGCCAGAGCTTAAGGAATATGCCTTCTTTTTATGAATATTATTATTATGCAACCTGAGACAAGAATAAGCAATTTGTATCGCCAGGATCTAATTTTCCTCAAACCAATTCCAAGTTGATTAAACTAATTTAGTCACGGTGCTTTGGCCAGAAGTTCCTTTCAGATTTTAGACCATGATAAAAATCAAATCATCTCGCATATTTACAAGTTAAATCCAAATCATCCTCACAAAAATATTTGTATACAATTTTTTACCATTTACGCAAGCATGCCTTGAATATTTGCTCGAGTGCTATAAAATTATGAAAAAGTATCCCTGTTACAGATGGTTATCAGTAGCGTCATTTAGAACAGTTCTGATTACTGATAATAGGAACCCGAAATCGTTTTGGGTCAGGTAGCTTCTTTCCCTTTTTCAGTCAATGAAGGGCCACAGACAAACAATTGGTTTGGAAAGAGACGAACAAAGAATGCGGCACTCACAAATATTCATCACAGAATTTCCTCCTTTTCTGGGGGTCTGATAAAAAGTCATAATCAAGCTATGATAAAGGATTCGAGAGAAATGATTCCCATAGTCATGTGTGTATGGTGGAATTCCTGTTTAAAGAAGCGACTAATGTATCTATTGACGTGTGAGAATGCAGGGAAGCCTGCTAAATGAGTAATGGTTGTGTCAGCGAGGCGCAATGCGAAATAAGTGGGTTTATAGCATTCATAAATTAGTCAGTTGTAGATCATGAACTATCAGTAAATAACATATAACACAGAGGAAAGAAGAGAGAGAGAGAGTATGTGTGAGAGAGAGAGAGAGAGAGAGAGAGAGAGAGAGAGAGAGAGAGAGAGAGAGGGAGTAGAAATGAAATACTAACACGAACTGTGACCGCAGCGATGGGAAATATAGTTATTAATAACTGTTCACCGACTGTCAATGTGACCCGAAAATAAGGTTAAAATGAATGATTAGATTCGGGATAAGAATACAAAAGTTGCCATCCATATCAACCGCAAGATGCGCCCGATGATTCCCTAAAGAATCTAGGAAAAAATCAAAGAAAAAGGATGAGCAAAGATATTACTTGGGACAGATAATGGTCCGCTTAGATACACCAATAACTAGTTAGTTGATCGTAATCGCTACCAAAAAGAGAAATGCAGCAATATTAAATTTAGAGGTGACTTTACAACCACTCGCTCTTGTGTTCTCCACCGCAAACTCAACGAAAGATGTTCATAAAAACTAATCATCTGATCAAAATTGAAAGATCTAGCTTACCGAATATTTTGTTTTCTTCTTCTAATATTCCTAAAAATCGCTATTTAGAAGTTGGTAAAGTTGGAGTTCAGAACTGTCATAATTTTGTTGGTAACAAAGATATATAAATAGAAACACGTCTAACTATTGAGGTATAGTGAATGTATATGAGTTGCATCTTCCTAAAGGGGGTAATTTGTTTTGTAGGGGTGCAAAATTGGGCTCAATGTCAACGACTGGTAGTGCAATTACAAGTTGACGCCGAGGCTATGCGTAATTCGAGCAATTTGTCGCGTCAAAAATATCACTTTGTCGAAATAAATTTGATAAGGAAAACTTATGGTACCGAGCAAGGGGATAACCACTTAGTGGTATAGTTCAATTATGACTTGTGTACACTTTCATAATATACCGTTGTTTTTATCGCCTGTGTAAAGCTCATGATTTGCTGATATATTTTGAGTATTTTGTATATATAATCAAAGTCACGTATACTCTTCTTAGATATATCGAATTTGTTGTAATATTTTAAATTAAACAAAAAGAATATATATATAAATATGACCAATTGATATTCTGTGCTAATTATCTTCAAAAGAATCAAGAGCATGAGTATAAACCAAAGGGTCATACTTGAAAAAGTACACGACTGAGTTGTTGAGCAAAACATTTTGAGGTCAACGTAGAAATGCGTTCAGATACCAGCTAAAGTAGGTACGATGTCTCATTTTATAAAAGGCATGAATAAGAATAGGCCTACTTATGAAACTGTGTAAACAATTTTTGCTTCAATCAAAAGTGTTTTCCTTAATCTTGTACGAATGGATAGTTCAGCGGTGTAATTTCTTTGAAATAACTCAGAATTTGTAACTATGTATACTACATGATTTATCAAATACCTATGCAATACTGCGAGCACAAAACAGATTGAAATTAAAAATATTATTACTAACCGTTTTGTCAAAAAGCATCAATTGGAAATACACGAGTCATGTACAAAATCCAACTAACGTTCACCTTTTCAATAAAACTATGCAACAAATCCTTTATATCACCATTCTCACCGATTCGTCATCTCGACCAATAATTTCATCTGTTTGATAAACGTTCATCATCATCATGTACATTATTTTATGCAATCCAATTTCCGCCTGTCGGCTCGCACACAGAAACCCACACAAAAGAAAGTCATCACGGTACAGCTTCATCACGGATATATTTGTCTCATAATGATGGTATATAAATGTATACTATCAAAGTTGAACTTGTGGTCAAGTGATGTATTACACCGTAAATAATATGACTTGACTTTAGCGGCGTTGATGAATTGAAAAATATAGCCCTAATCTTGAGATTGACAAATTATTAATGGGGACAGAAAAAGAGGGCATTTTCATGTTTATTAAATTGAGAAATTGACACGTTAAACAAGAGTGCAAGGCAACTCAACCGGGAAATTGGAATAAGTAATTCTCATAGATAAGACAAGTTTCACTTATTGTTATTTAATCATATCTTGTATAATTTCCAGTACTTATTAAATCTTTACGTAGATTTTATATATCGCTCTCTTTCTTGACAGCGCATACAATGTGAACACTATAATATATGTTGTGTGGCAGAACATGATATTTCCATCGGAGAAAATGGGGGCGGACTAGCTGGCCTTTGCCTTAATGTGACGGTTCAGATTGAAAATCAGTTCTGACAGGTGTAGAAAGTGACCAATTTGCGCCTCGACCGAATCTGGATTGCACTAAGACGCCGACAGGGCTCAAACCCCAATATAACCCCCTTCCTGTTCTCTTATCAGCCACAACTTTTTATTTTAAATCCGAAAAATTCACCCCTCTGCATTTCTCACTCATTTTGTACTCCTTCATTAATATCCCCGTGCTACTGCACACCGTAAGCGTCAGAATGACACCTAACTAACTTGACGGGGTGTAGGAGCTAGTGGTGATTGGATTTAGCCCAACTAGCACGTTTCTATTTGACGTTTCTATTTTTTGACCTTCATGTTGGACCATCTAAAAATTTGAATACACCGTTTTTTTTTATCTGATAATGAACCGATCGAGGTACTGTATGCTATAAATACATATAAATCGTACTTTTTAGATTTTTCTAGATAATTTCATGTTTATCTGAATTATTACAATCCGCAACGGTCGTTATGATTATGATATCATGTCATAAAAGAATGGGGAATTTGCAAAGGAAATAGTCGGAATTGTTAAAAACTTTCTTTGGAAAATCTAGATTTTTTAAAAAATAGATCCAAAGAATCGGGTAAATTGAATCGGAACTCTATTTATATTTGACAATGTTGGATGGTCTTTAGAAGTTTTGCCGAAAAACCATACATTTTTTAAAGCAACAACATAAAACACAGATTTTTATCACATTTTCATTAGATATGATTCATGTTAAATGTAGTGGAATATTAGTCGCTGGTAAAGTGCATGCAAAGTCAACGAAGTGTTCAGAGACAAGTAGCAGACAACCTTATTACAGGCATTCAAATCTCAGACAAAAGCTTCCTCGCAGTCCGTATTTCTTGCTCGATAAATTTATCGCTTTTCTTTTGAAAGAAGGTGTTTGATAGCTGCCATTGATGAATGATTCAATTCCGTCTTGGCAGCTGCACACGACTCTATTATCATCCCATAGATAATCTACTTTATTGTCCTTTCACGACTAATCATCGAGTCTATACGATTTGATGACCGAATGCGGTCGAACAATGCCGAGCGGTGTGACGAACAATGCCGAGCGGGCCGCTAACAATAGGCGGGAAAAGTCGATCAATTTGTACGACTCAATAAATCTGAAAGGGGGAAATTAGATTTGGCGTGACAAAAGGAAGTGATTTCTTACTTGTATTCAGCTGAGATTTGACTGTCGGGGAGCGTGTAACAATGAAAAAAGTAACAGACTAGGTCGTATCATTGTTAATTAATTATTGGTATCAGCCGCAATTATCAAACCTGTGAAAGAGTACCTGACGGTGTTATCACACTAGCTGTCTCATTCTAAGACAAATCCAATCCTTTTTCATAGCAAGAGTTCAATAAGTCGTTTGAAGTGTAAAGAGAAAAGAGGTTACAATAACATTGGTCTTACTGTTTGAGAAGTACCGTAGGGTTATGACGAAAATGTACAACGCAAAACGCAATACAAACTAGTGGGCCAAAATGAGAGGAGTTAAGAACGGATCATGGGAGTAATATATGCTGCTCTTCTCCTTTTTGTGCATTAAGATTAATAATGAAAACTTCGTACTGAAATCCACACACAGATGATATATCATATCCCCATTAATGAGGTACATGGGATCGCCTGGGCCCTAGCTATACACATTTAAACAAAATTTAGACAGGGCATGAGTGAAGCAGGGGTCAAAAGGGTGCCAAAATCGAACGTGCCTTTATTTCGGGCGACGCACTTCCTAGTGACACGGCCAATTTGTTCTTGCAATTTATCAATTATTCACCTACCCTATTCTTACTGCAACCAGTCTTACTACTG